ACCCAGCCTGGGCTGCAAAGTGAGCTCAAGGCCAGGCTGAACTGCATAGCAAGACCCTGTCTCAAAAAGACAAAATAAATTAATTAATTAAATTAAACACTCGATCCAAGCCAGGTGCTGAGGCAAGAGGATCGCTGCAAGTTCAAGGTCAGCCTGAGCTCCATGATAAGTTCAAGGCCAGCCTTGAACTGCATAGTAAGACCTTGTCGCAAAAACCGAACAAATTTTAAAAAATAAAATACTGAATTCTTTTTTTCTTTTTTTTGGTACCGGGAATCGAACTGATGACCTTGCACTTGCCAGGCAGGAGCTGTGCCGCTGAGCTATATCCCCAGCCCCAAAATACTCAATTCAAAGTGAGTATAGCAGCAGATGCCTATAATCTCAGCATTCAGGAGGCTGAGGCAGAAGGATCACCTGTCCATTTTAAGGCCAGTCTGGGCTATATGGTGAGTTCAAGGTGAACCTGAACTAGATGGTGAGACCGTGTCTCAAAAGAAAACTAAATAAATAAATAAATAAACTCAATTCAGTGGTTTTTACTATATCCAAAGGGTTTTGCAACCATCCCCACTATGGAATTTTATCTTTTTCTTTTCTTTTTTTTTTTTTTTTTTTTTTGACAGGGTCTCTCTGTGCAGTTCAGGCCCGCCATGAACTCACTTTGTAGCCCAGGCTGGTCTCAAACTCGCAACGATCCTCCTGCCTCAGCCTCCCAAGTGCTGGGATTACAGACGTGCGCCACCACACCCGGCTACATCACTATTGAATTTTAAAAGATTTTCCTCACTCCCTCCCCCCAAAATCCCATGCCTATTGGCAGTCACTCCTCACATCTCTCCTCTAAGGCCTGGCAACTACTAATCTATTTTCTGTCTGTATGGACGCACCTATTCTGGACATTTCATGTAAATGGAATCATACAATATACAATATGTGGCCTTTTGTGTCTGAAAACTTAGCCTAATGTTTTTAAGTTTCATCTCTGTTGTTATCTGAGTGGCTAAAAACTATTCTACTATCACACTGTGAAATGATAGGAAACCACTGAAGAGTAAAGGGCTTCTGGGATGTGGGAAAAGAGAACGGAATGGAGAAATTTTGTATGTATGTATATACAGGATAGATAACATGGTTGTTCTTCTGTCTTCTATTTCTATGCTGAAAGAAACTGTCAATGAGTCTTTGGTT